TTATATTTATATTTATATGTATTTATAATAGCAATAAGGCTATGAATACTTTTGGTCATCATAATCATGCTAATGAAGATGAGAAGAAGAACAAGAAGAAGAAAAAAACAAGCAAAATGCGCATGCAGAGTCCAGATTAGGAGCCGGAATGACCCCCCCCCTCAGAAAAAGGAACCTGCTTGAACAAATCTAGGGTTGAAGATCGCGGGGGGGCTGAATTGAGGGTACAGGGCAAGAGGGATTACATGGAAGTGGATATTTTACGCAGCTTAGGTGTTGCGGGGCTGATTGCGGCATTTTTCCTGAGTTCAACAGCTGGCTCTCACCAGGGATGTCTGCAAAAGCCGCTTCTGGAGGCCAGGGATGCAAATTATGGTTGAGGTTGCTGGGAGGTCTAGAGAGCGCCTAAGATGAAAGACACACAGCACATGGTATTCCGCATGAAGCTTGCGTATTCTGCCGCAAGACCCGAGGACTGGAAAACCAAGCGCAGGACTATTCCGGAGGATTCCCCCTAAAACTAACGGATCCTCTATGATTTCAAGGGTGCCTTTATCCTTTGCAGATCCTTTCTACATAACTCAGAGAGTGTATTGATCACTTAAACGAGTTGTTGGAATCTCAGAAAGTTTCCTGAGGCGCCCACCCCGACTGATCCAGGAGGCCTTCCGTGGGGTTTAGGGTGGGTTTCTTAAGACGATTTGGGACAAATTGGAGTTTAGGGCTGTTTGACATGCTGAAATTGGAGCTCGGCGCCTCTTAACAATTGGAACTGCGTTTTGGGGTGTGCTGCACTGCAAACATACAAGGATGACACCTGAGTTTCATGACTTGTACAGACCGCAGTTTGGCAGCCTGTGTCTAGGAGGTTGGATGTTTCGGGTTGAGAGACGCTTCGACTCCCGTTTAGGGGATTCGGGTGGTCTAGACTCTTTCCTTCGCAAATTGTGCCGCATGGTGCCCACTCACTGCACTCACGGTACCCTTATAACATCTCTGTAGTATCTTTACAGTACCCTCACAGTGCCCTTATGGATCCTTGGATATCCTTATGTTACCCTTCTTGCTACTTGGCAAGGACCTGCTCATCATGTACGATGGCCATAAACGCAACAACATATTATGGCCTTCATTAGTTTTGGGGGGTAGGTGATACTAGAGTATCATGTGGGACCCATACAAGGAATTATCTTAGGCTCCTTTTTGGCCCCCGGCCAGCCTGGACCTCGACCAAGTCTTCATGGCTCAGCTTGGATTGAAACGAAACAACGGACACACCTAAAACACTCTCGGAACCTCAAAGGACATCTTGGCTTGCGCCACAAGGATAGAAGAGTTGAAGCAATATGATAAAGCTCCTCGGTCCTAGGTCGTGTGCACAGACTGTGGCCATGATTGGGAAGACGAGAGTCACTTGCTGGGAGTTTCGAGCCAGCGGGTGCATCACAATCGTGGTTCGCTCACGGTGTGGGAATACCCCGTTGATATGGTCGTGGTCCTAGATTGCATCTACAACTACTCCCAAGCCCAAATCTGTGCTGCTGGAACTGCTCCCGAGACTCCCTAGTTTGCAACATCTGACGGCTGTTGCCGGTGGGCCGGCAGTCTCGCAGTACCCAGAGGGCCCAATTCCCTTAAATCAATTCAGATCACGTCAATAAAGGAAGGGTCGGAAGGGTCCCTGGATAACTCAAGGAACATTATGCATCTGCAAAGGCGACGAATCTCTCTTCTGAGATGTTGTACTTCTTTTAGACCTAGCGCAGCGTGTACCGCGGCGAGGCCAGCGCAGTAGGTTTTGCCAGGGTCCGCGTCGTGACGAGAGAGGCCTCCAGCCACAGAGAGGCTTCGACAGGGAGGCATAAGGGTTTCTACGGGATCCTCCTTTCGGGTTCATAATCAAACCCAACCCCCCAAAAAAAAAATAAATAATTAATAATAATAACAATAAATAAATAAAAAAACAAATACAAAATAATCCGAAATCCCCAAACCACTCAACCCTAAACCCCCAAACCCTGAATGGGATGTCTCGAAGGCTTTCGGGTTTAAACCCCAACAATGCCTCGGACCCCACAGTGCCCGCGCACGAGACTGACCTTGGCTCTGCACAGACTCCAAAGCTTCTGGGTTCTTTCTCATATTGTTGCTGCTGCTGACTGTTATTGTCGGTATTTCTAGCATTATTATCATCGTGAGTTGTTGTTATTCTGGCCGTGTTTTCATTTCTACCCCTCTCATTAGGAGGCTTCTTGGTCTTCTAGTTCTGGTTCTCGTTATTGTCATCGTTTTAGGATTGTTCACTTGTTATAATGATTATGCTTAGTGTAACTACTGTGACCGTTCGTATGGCGATTGTTAATAAAATCATGTTTGCCATTATTGTTCGCAGTAGTCGTTGTCGCATGATGCTGATTAGCTTGTGTACTATTAACGTTGTTATTATTCGCATAATTACTAGTATTACTATAACTGTCATTGTCATTCATATATTCTTATTATTCTTGAGTGTGGGCGAAAGGGTTGCTGGTGACTTCCATGTGATGTGTGCTTGTCCGTGGAGCCATGGTGGCTGACAGGTCTTTGGGGTGCGAGGGCTTAGGTCCGTATGTCCCCAGGGTGGCCTAGCTACACGTAGCAGAACTAGAGCACCAGATGTA